CGTTAATAGTTTACGAGTAATTTGCAAAAAACTGTTTTTTCGTTTTTCGTCAATAACTCGTAAACTATTAATGCTAGCGACAAACTTTTATATGGAAATTATAGATCTCGTCGTCCTCTATAAGAAAGGTCCTATACAATTTTCCCGTAGATTTAACGGTTTAGGAGTAATTAAGGAAAAACGAAATTTTTTGCCAAAAGTTCGCTATTTCGACGGTGGGATGGTCGGATTTCGTCAACATTAATAAAATGCCAAATAATCATACGTAACTCGTTAAATATCGAAGTAAGAAGGAAAACACCTTTTATTTGAAGCATTTTTCGCAATTTTGAAAAAAAAATTTTCGTCAGCGTCAATACTTAATTGGATATTTCCTTCTATATTTTTTAGCACGTAACTATTCATCATTAGCATTATTCTTCCGACGTCTGATTTATTTTTAATCATAGGAAATGCTAAGGTACATAAACTTTTGGGATTTACTGTATAGCCAATACATCCTTAAAGGAACTTGAAACCTGAAAAACTGATTCCGCCGGCCACGTTGGTTCGAACTTTGAACGACGCGACGACGCGGCAGAATCGGACTGCCTGAGTGACGCAGGTGTATAAATAAGTCACGATTAATTCTCTGCAGCGTGCATAATTTGAAGATATAACGCAGAGGGCTGCTGTGACACCGATCGAAGATTTCAGCTTCGCTCGTTATGCGTGTATAGGTAGAAAGTGTACAGGGTGGTTCACCAGGGGTTACCACCCCCAATTTTCGTAATTATTATACATAGCACAGAATATTTATATATTATATAATATAATGTAGAACGGTTTCGAGAGAGGCACATTCTGGTTTGCGTGCGCTTAGAAGAGAACAGCTTTTCAAATGGAATTGTCCAATGGGAGCTTCATCTTCTCCACAAAAAAGAAGCATCAATTAATATCGAAATGATATAAAAATTCTTTGCCATTTTGTATAATAAGAACGACGAAAATGAAGGGGGTGGTACATGGTGAACGAGTCTGTATGCGCGTGTACATGCATATGCATGTACGTGCGTAAATTTGTGCCCGATCGGGCGCAAAGCGCAAAGCTGCATATCCAAGAGCTTTCGCCGGATGCCGGGCTCTCGAGCCTCTCGCGCTTTCCCTTCCGCGCTTAATAAATTACCGGTTCGATGAAAATTAACGATATCCGATACGCCGTACTAAAACGCAGGGACTTTCCTGGGAGGAGTGCCGATGTCATATTTACACTGTGGACTCTTATGCGAAATATTTACGACGCGCATACGAGAAATGAAATCTAACGCGGCTACGCGGAACGGTCGAACACTGTTCAAGCTGGCACGAAATGGAAAAGCTTTTTACCTCGACGTAACCTTCTGTTTGTTCGAACGATCGTTTATTCGTGCGTCGTTTGCGTACAATTTCGTAATGCGATGGTCTCGTGAATTAAATCACGATTTACGGGAACTTCGTCCCTGATGCAGTTAGGATCGAAGATTACACGTGTTCATATGGCGAGAATGTGGGCGCCGATCGGCGCATGTTGATTGATGACGATGAACGGGTTAATGGCGTTATGGGTATGGTAAGATAGATGCTGATTGATTTCGAATCGATATCTGGTACCAAAAAGTGAACACTTTGTATGATGCGAATGATGGCCGACGAGTAGACCGCGAATTTTTATGCAAACTTTCTGCAACCTCACGTGGGAAATTATAATATTGATAAGAATACTTAGNCGTTAATTCAATTATCAAGTAAAGTCCCTTAATTTCATTAATAATATGAAATGTAATTCTGTTATGGTAATATAATAATTGTGTCAATGAAAATGGCCATGAATGACACTTTCGTCATGAACAAGGTCAACCAATTATTCCTTAAAAAAATTGATTTCGCATTTCAACTCTTATATGCATATTGTAAGCATTTTTATAGTTTTATAAATAAATGCATTATATTCGCGGTCTACTGATAAAAATCTTTCCCGATAATGAGTATTGATTCGTAATAACAGAACTTCGTTCACCGAAGTTCAATAATGATGTGTATGATACAATATCGAATTCGATGAGAAATGTTGAACGATGGTACATGAGGCTTATCATACAAATAAATAATTTGTCCAAATGGTCACATTTGACACTCGGAAACTCACTGTCTTTACATCAGACGAGATCTTCACACAGTCATTGTTCATCTTAAAAATTAATAATTTGTCCAAATTCTTCCAACTGACACTTACGTGTAATTCACTGTTCACAGAGTCGATCCCAAAAAACGATACACAGTTATCGTTCATCATTAAAATCGATCAATTCGCCAGATGGCACTTGAATTAAATCACTGTTCACCGTCGATTAGATCATGTCACGACGTGCACAGATTTATTCCCTGAATCGGGTTTCGCAATTTTTATTAACAGAGTCAACGCTCACTGGAAACGTCGCTTGATTCACTCGACACCCGCGCAAACCGCGTCTTACCATACCCATAGAAACGTGTAAGAACTCACGGAATCCCGTGTCAATTCCACTAGCAAATTTCGATTTGGAGTTCGTGCGTCGCGTCATACCTGAACCGATCGCTCGACGGTTACGCGGATTAGACGGATAATCCGCGAAAATGTTGCTGGCAAGGGAGAACCCTCGAGTCGAATGACGACGCACCGCCCGCGTCGACTCGCGTGCTGCGCCGATCGAACCGCGTCAACAATTTATTGCTACGTCGTATCGACGATAATTAATTATGCACGATAATTCTCGGTAATTACCAGACTGCGAATTTACGATATTTCAACAAAATCCAATTATGCAAATTTTTAAGTTTGCGAATAATTATTTATATCGAAATTTATTATAATGATCATTTATATTGTATCGAATATTTCTGAAATCTCGTAATAAATAATAATAATGGTTTACGTCGCGTGCAGCATTTCTGAATTCTTCGCGTTCTTCCATTGTTTAATAAGTGCATGAAACCCGCGGGCTAGCAATTACGATGCTCTCCCATTTCCTTAGAGGAAAAAAAAGGTAACGCGCCGATACGATCCGTTTAGGTTCGCTGCGCACGGATATGTCGATATTTCGATAAACGTTTAGATTCTCGGTCCAGTGCCTTTATCGGGAGGCAAACCGCGACATTATACGATGCAGTACAGGGTGTCTCGCCCGAAAACGAACCAGCTAATTACTAGGGCGAACGTATTCGGCCACAGGTGTTCCCCGGTTTTTTTAGTGCTCGAGTCAATACGAAATATTACTTTCCATTTAATCATTTTCATACGATTATTAAATCAATGTATCCATTCTGAGAAATTAGTGCATTCATTTTTAACCCTTTG